ACCATCCTATCCTCGGGTTCAGGACACCTAACGTCACAGCCCGGCATTACCTTAAATTCTCGAGCACACGCAATTGCTAAGTGTTCCTTAAACTTACAGGGGAGGTCGGGATAAGTGAACGGGGTAGGAACTGATTGGGCTCGAGGATGTACATTAATGGGAATGGCCATGGGAACTATCGACCCTCCATGGTCCTCAGGAACTGTTCCTGAGGACGATGACGAACTATCATCACTACTCGACGACATAATACCCAAAGGATGCAACTACTCTATTCTACACAAAATAACTTAAGTTCTCGAGCTCGTACCTTAATACTTGATCTCGAGGGTGTCTGAGAGAATTACTGAGAGTCGAAAGGTGAAAAATGAATTAGGGATGGGGTATTTATAGGCCTGAAAGGGAGGAAGGCCAAGAGTCGCCACCCTAACCCTTGGATCTTGCCACGCGTCGCCCATCCAGCCCACCATTTTTAACCGCCATTTATTACCAGGGCTTACGTCAGCATGACGAATGCCCTAGGGCATATCAAACACAAGGATCAGCTATTCATCGAGTGATTCAGAGCACTGCATCCACCCTCAAAGCTCGAGGCCTGGATGCACGGGGGCCAATGATGTGGTCAATAATGACCATCCCCGAGCACGAGGACTCGCAATGTCCCTCATCATTCGAGAGTAGGGCTTGAGTCCTCGGGTTGTATCGTCCTCGGCATAATAGACTGGAATTCCTTCTCCTTGCTCGAATAATGCTCGGGACCAATAAGTGCTCGTGACATCTCGAGCACTACCTCGCCGGATTGCCCTAAAAACCAAGGTGGGAGTCGTCGGGATAAATGGCCTCGAGATATTTACTTAACCAAATCCAGCATACTCCTTGACCATGTATTGCCTGTCCTCATTCATATAGGATCCCTAATCCTACGCGGACACCCCAACCTAAGAACCCTAGATCACAAAAGGAGTCCTATCCTTGGAAACAACTTCGAATAAGGTAAGTCTAAACTCCTACTTACATCCCAACACCTACTCCTAGAAACAAGGAGACAAATCCTACTTAAACTACACCACCTACCACTATAAATATGGCACTCTCATTCATTATCAAGGTACGTTTTCCACACATATATTCAGCAATATATTTTCTCAACATTCTTGTCTGATTTAAGCATCGGAGGGGCGACGAGGACACACCTCGACGCCTTTGTTTCAGGTACGGAAGATCTTGTTCGTGCTCAATCTCAGTGATCAAGCTCGGGATTCAATAGGTGACGATTTTTTGGTAAGATCAAAATGGATCCGAGGTTTTGCCGTGCAACTTCTTGCTTTCTTATAGGAAATTGATACGAAATAGAGGTAAATGAGGTAAATTTATGATTATTGATCAATTAAGTGCTTATTGCCCACCTAATAAATTGTACTGGCAAAGTTATTTTATTGGATAATTAGTCCCATAAATTTCGTTACTCAATGGTTAAATGGCATGGAAATCTCGATAAATACGATGAGCAATGCTTGTTAACTTACCTTTTTTAATATTGTGTGGAACCTAATAGTTAATTTTGGAGGGATATATATGTAACTTTCAAATGATGTGTTTGATCATGGATTCACTAGTGGTTCGCTGCTCAATTACAAAATCCACTTCCTTTTTCAATGCTTTCACATTCGTTAGTTGTGGATGAAAAATTACGTTCGTAAACTTTTAGCAGTGAAATGAGGGTTCGAGAGTATTAAACTGTATTACGAAATTTAAAAATAATGAGAATTTTGTTCATTATAAACAAAACTTGTACTTTTGAAGAAGAAAAAACATAGTCAATATGAAGAGTTCAAGGAAATTTCTATATACGTAAAATATTGTGAAGTTTCTTTATAGCTATTAAAAAATTAATACCCAAGAAACTGTTTTCTCAATTGGCCCCACTTTAGTGGAAAAGAAATAATTCTTCTTTGCATATCGTAGAAGAGGAAGCATGGAGACGTCCAAAGTTGACTAATAATGATGTTTTCGCCAATCAAATAAAAGTCAGCCTAAGATTGCGGATTAAAATGAAAGTAAAATGCGTCCTGATTAGGTACATAAAAAATCATGCGTTTTTCTCGAGTACATTCGACTTGGACATCTTCCAAATCCAATCAGTTGTCACATGACATAGTGACATCTGATTGGATTAGAATTTCTTTTTGACAAGTCATTTGTATGTAATCTGTCGTGTAATTGTTTATGTACAAGTAGTATTATTTTAATACTAATCGGTGTCAAAATGCTACCTACTAAACAATTAAGGTCACGAGACAGCAGTAAAGATATGACCAGGCAAGTGACGTGGGCCGGGAAAATTGGGATACAGCTAAGCTTAGAAGTACATAATAAAAGATAACAACCCTTGAAGGCCTCAAGATGCAGATTTGTTTCACTTGGTAGAGCAAACACCAAAGAGATCCCTCGCCATCAACAATCATGGTCATGTACCGACTCACGAGGTTGTTTATACGTAATGCCCCGTTATGTAGAAGAGTAAGAGTGAATTAGACCGTCCAAACTCGAGACAACTCGCATGTTGTTAAGTTCAAACGATGCAAATCCTATGTGTCATGCTCATGTATAGCATCCAGGGATGAAGTCAATATTCTAACTTCAATTGTCCAACGATAGAGCTATTTATTAAGTAACGTAATCTCAACGAGTCATGCTTACGTGTATGGTCATGGTCAAATTCAATATTCTAGCTCCAATCGTCCATCAACGAACTATTTTTTCCGTAACATGAATTGCATAACAATAAGTAACATCAAAGTATTAAAGAAAAAAGAGAAGATAAAATTCAATCGAAGTCCTTTCTTTCGTTTAAGAAGTCAATAAAACAGAGCACACAAATCCACTTAATTTAGTCCTATAGACCAAACAACAACAAACATGTCAAAATTGCTACCTACCAAACAACTAAGGTCACGAGACAGCATTAAAGTTATGATCAAAGACAAATGATATGACCAAGGGAGATTGGGATACAGCTAAGCTTAGAGGTACAAAACAAAAGGTAACCACCTCGAAGGCCTCAAGATGGAGATATGCTTCACTTGGTAGAGCAAACATCAAAGAGATCTCTCCCTATCAACAAACATGGTCCATGTACCTATTCACTAGCCCGCTTTAAGCCTAAGTCAAGCAAAACATGCGCTTTAAGATGGCCCAAGTGAGCTGCACTCGACTGCGCCTGAGTGCTAGACTCGTGAGGGACCTCAAATTAGGTATGGCGCTCTATCGAAAGGGGGCAGTGGTGTTTACGAGAGCCATTTGCGTATGCCATTTTTATTTTCTTCGAAACGAGGAAGTATCAAGGTAGAAAAAGAAGATATCTATCGTGTCTATTGTAGCTGTGTCGTTGTTTCGCTATAAATGAAAAACAAATTGCTTTTTAGTTTTGACTCGATCAACAAGAAAACAAAATACTGTACCGAAACTAGCCAGGGAATCGGATTATTAGGAATATGTAACCATCAATCTCAATTATAAAATCTATGATAAGACAATTTATAGCAATAATTTAACATAGCAAACAAAATTGATTATATCAAAGCACGTTCCAACAAACACATTCATAAATTAATCCGTAGCAAGATAGAAAAAACACAATTCATGATTAAAAAAAACCATAATTTAGTTCATATCTCCAACGTTCGGACCAAAAAAATAGGGATAACCAAAATCATAAACCAGAGTATACCGAAGACCCTTTGGACGGCTCTAATAGCACAGGAAAACCCAAAGGAAAGCAAATTTCAAAAACTCCCTCACATGGAAACTCTCTTAAAGTACAAATTAATACTCTTATGAAACCGTCTTGAAAAATGAATCTTCGAGTTCTCGGGACAAAATGACACTCTCCCCCTGAAACCTATATAACTTAAAAGAGATATTGATGCTAATGATAATTAAAATCCTAGTAGCTGCAAAATTTATGGGCAAGCTATATTGAGGGGTGCAGGAGTTCCATTCATTCGGGGTGCTTCACTATTTATTAGAGGTTCGTCTTTGTTCATCCAAGATAAGACATCATTGCAAACCTCGAAATTGAAGTCAAAGTCGAAATCTGGCAGTGCACTAGGCTGATCAGCATCCTCAAACCCACAAATAGGAAGGTCTTCGAAACCACTGAAAAAATCATCCATAGGTGGCTCAAAATCATCCATCGTCATTAAAGTGTCAAGCTCGAAATCCAAGTCCATTTCTTCTCCAATTTGAGCCAAAGCTGAGATTTCCATATCCATTAGTCCTGAATCAGCCATTTTTATGTCAGCAACATTTGCCTCAACAGCAGCATTTTCATTGATTCCGGAAGCAGAGGTTAAAGAATCCAATTCCAGCACCAGTGCTGGGGATGTTTGCGAAGTAAGTGACACCATACTTCCACTTGAGTCCTCGGAGACACAACAACCAGCAAGATTTTTGTTCGGGTTCATAACAGGCTTAGAACCCACCACAGGACAATCAGTTTTAGTGTGGTTATCCTTTGAACTCTTCTCAGATGAATTGATGCTATTGGCCAATGCTTCAAATTCCAGGCGTTTCATTTCATAAGCTCTCGATGCCTCCTCAGCAGTATTATAAGTACCCAACCAGACCCTTCTATGTTTAAAAGGATCGCGAATCTCAGCAGCCCATTTGCCCCATTTGCGTTGCCGAACACCTCTGTATTTCCCAGGAACAATTCGCCGCTTGCTTTCAGTAACGGCTAAAACCCTCTTCTTCTTTAGGTTCTTTTCACCACTGTTACTTTCCTGAACTGAACTCTCTGTTTCAGGGGCTTTAGGTGTTTGATAGACGTCCCCAGTTGAATAAAAAACATCCCGAACAACTCTTTTAACCTTCTTCTCACAGATTCCGTCATCATCCGATGAATCAGTAGCATCCGGGTCATCATAAATAATCCGCACCCTCCTCGTGTGTTTAGTAGGTTCACCCTTGTTTCTTAGTTTTTCGTTAACACTTTGATGATTCAGTGACAGTTGTCTCCTAGGCTCAGGCATCTTTAATTTGCCGTATAACTCAAACCCCTCAATAGAATACCCAGAAAATCGTGTTTCTCCAAAATTAATTAAACTAAAAAGCAGGAGAAAAAAATTGGTTTCAAGGAAATAAGGTATCACGGATTGTGAAGTAGACCTCTCAAGAACACAAAAAGATTTAATGATCGCTTTATAAGATATCCACCAAAACACTCTACACCAGAACAAGTCCTGCAACACAAACAAAACCCAGAAAAATTAACACATGAATATTCCAGATCAACATTCAAAACAACCCAAAACCCCACAAGAACAACATTATTTAATCATAAAAATCTCAAAAATTTACCGATAAATACACGTCTATGTATAAATCTCACAAAACCCGAAACTCGTAAAAATTAGCATAAGACAAGAATCTCGCAGAAACACATAAAAATAAATACACAAACACCCACAAACATATGTATGTACAGATAAAAGTAAAACCGATATGGGTTTGAGGTAGAGAGCGTACCTTTTGGGCCTCAAACGCATCGAAACAGTCGGGAAGAGAAGGAAGGTTCCCTGCTGGATTTCACAGCAGAGGGATTTTTGCATGCAGAGAGCAGAGGAAGATTTGTAAGAACAAGAACAGAGCTTCAACGGAGCCCCAAACACAACACCCAAATCAAAACTTGCCGACATAAAATCTCTTGATTCCAAAATCCCCCTTCTCTCTCAAATCTCCCAATTCTTCCTTCTCGGAAAAAGAGCACCCAGAAAAAGAGGGAAAATATGGGATCAGATACAAGTATTTATAGAGAAATAAAACTCAAGAAATAGACGCAATATCTATCAAGAACCAACGAAGTAAAACTGTATAAAGAGTTTACAGAGGATTAGGATTCTGCGGTGGTTATATCTCCAGCATACAAAGTGACAGAGATCAATTTATGGTTTTATCGAAATTTTACAGACACAACATTAACATAGAATAGACCTCTACTAGTTTAGTAGAACAATAACACTGGGTTTTGTGTGTATACATACTATATAGACGGAGTGCCAAACAAATACCGTAAAAGATTGTTCTTTTTACCTTCAAAACAATGGACTGAAGAATACGCAAATCTCAAGAGAAAGGAAAAATTATCATGTCTTACATCGAAAATCACAGAAATTTCTTTTTAATATAAAAATAAAAATTGTGCATTCATACAAAAGTGTATACGTTTTCTGTACCTGCTTTAAAGTGTGTCTTTTTTTCCCCTCTCTCTCTCTGTATGACTCACTCTGCCTACTGATATAACAATATAGTGCTTTTTGGCGTTCACTTCTCCCAAGCGGTCAAATTGCATTAAATAGTGGGGGTAGGTGGGGATTGGGTGGGTGTATATATATTATTGTATGTATAGATCGTCTCCATGTATGTGTAGATTGTGTGCATGTATGTATGGAATACGTAAAACAATAGTGGTATGTTCGTATCTAGACCATATTTTTATTAAACCAGAAAGGAAATAAAATATACTTATTACATAGAAAGTTAGTATAATGTATCAAACATGAATAAGTAATGAGTCGGCGACCAACATTCATGAGGCATGAACATACCCATCTTTATGACATGTTCATCATGCTATATTTGTAAAAGGTGAACAATTGTACTTCATGTATATCATCACTTACCGATCGATTTATCAACTCTTCTATCAAGATTTGAGTGAATCAATATCTAATCAACCAAATTTAAAAGAAAAAAATCTCACTTTCTTTTTGATACATCGATAATAAACTATTCAAATTTCTTTTTTGACATTTTCCAAAAATAAATACTTTAAAGCTGGCAAAACACTTATTATATAGAACAGTATTTGTTTGAAATTACGATTCTGCCACTGAGGTATGAACTCTTTTTGAAAAGAAAAAGAAATTCTTGTTTTCCTTTATTTGTTTTAGATTTATTTACCTTTTTCTTTTTCTCTTTCTTTGTTTTTTTTTTCCTGATTTCGTGATTTAATAGAATCCCATAAATCAAGGGGGTGGATTAGAATAAACACTTTAAGAATTAAATTCACGTGAGATTTGTTTTCCAAACCTGTTACAAGAAGGATTTAAAAGAATTTAATTTCATTAAGTTTATGTTTCATCTAAATACTTGAATTAAATTTGTTATTTGTCGTTGAATTAATGTGTCGTGTGTCACTTGTATTTAGTAAATTATTTATTACTGTAGACCATTAAATGAGGTAGAACAACATTGCAATTAAAAAAAAAAAAAAAGATTAAACACATCTTTCCAATAAAATACTTTTGCACGTTAATACATAATTGTTTTCAAAAGTCTAATCGTACATTATTCAAAAAATCCATATCGCAAAATATATTTTTCCCAAAAAATATTGTTAAAAAATAGCCTCGATGTAGAAATAACGTTTTGAGTAAGACCAACAATATTTCAAAGAAGATTAAAGTTGTTAATGTTAGTATGCAAAAAGGACAACTAAAACATTTAATTATGATTTATTTGACATGATTATTTTGAGAGAAAATGCATTTTTAAATAGTAATTTTTTGAAAAATGTGTGGTTAAAAATTAAGAAAATATTTTCGATTTACTTGTAATATTATTTTATTGAAAAATGTGTTTTTGAAAATGAATTTTAAAAAAAAATTCAAAGAAAAAGGGCTCAAACAACCCCTAAGTAAGTTCAATTTTAAAGTTCTTCTAGTTGGATAAAAAATATTCAAATATGTTCAAAAACAATCTCTTATTTTTTTGTAGTTTTTAACTTTCAAAAATCCTAACAAATGAATCCTTAAAATACTAAAAAACAATACTATAATTTAAAACATGAAAATGTATAACAAGGTATTAGGCCCCCTGTTTGGTATGAATTAAAATCAGATTTTAAGTAAATTTTAATAAAAATTGATGAATATGTAGTTGAAAAGCTGTGAATCTCATTAAATATGTGGTTTAAATTAAATGTTAACTCTCGATTTAAATTAAAATCAAGATCTGGGCTATATAAATGTATTTATGTATATAAGTTTTTTATCAAATTCTCTTCTTGTCAAGGGGTAAATAAGACATTTCAATCATCCCCCATTTTTTTTCTCTTGGTGTAGACATTTCTATCCACACGAGACAAAATTGAGCCATTCAAATAAATTACAGCAGAACAAGTCAATGAAGTAATTTATCCCATTATTCCAAATCTAAAACTTTCTAATAATGTAAATAAAATATTATTCAAGTGTTACTTGAAATAATAGAGACCATTCATGTAGCACGTGATCATGTCTGCACTACGATTAGAAAATCCTTAATCCAACCGTTCTCCTATTGACACGTCATCGAAACAGTGATGTGCCCTTGTCTCCCAACCCCAACCACCCCCATACCATACCAACAATTTCTGTAGTCACATACGACACTGCCACTAAGATACTCCCACGCGAACATGTGAGAAATGGCATGATATTTCGTACACCAAGTCACGTGACCTCTGTGTATATTTTCGTTATTTTTAAAAAATATTTTTTAAAAATTTTTAATTACACACTTTTTAATAAAATAATATAATATGCAAACTCAAAATATTTTTTTATTTTTTAATCACAAATTCTCCATTAAAATACTATTTCAAAATATATTTTACACAAAAA